TCTTCTCTCTGCCTCTTCCCTGCTCTGCTTTTCATCTGTCCATATTGTCGGAAGTTTGACTTCTAAACTTCCTTCGATAATATATATATATACACATAATATATATATAATTATATATATACATACATAATTATTTATATATATATAATCATACAGTGTATATATATAATCATATAGTATATAATTATATGTATATACATCATGCATAGTTGACCATAGTTGTCATGGCTTGTTTGATATGTAATGTGTGCTTTAGGTGTTCGACGTGCCTCAATGTCCGCCTGAAGAGGGCCACAGCTGCAACGAAGCTGTACGGCAGGGCCATCACGTGATACTGACCGTGCCTCTGTCATTCACTCAGACCATGCGGTGCTCGAGACGTTCTTCGACTTTTGCACGGTGTCTGTGTTTGCAAGCAGCACTTGTATCACCTGATAAGAATTCCCTGGCTTAGAACATCTTAGAAACCATGGCTTAACGCCAGGCCCTGGGTGGGGTAGAGTAAAGAATGTGTAGGCGAGGCTGGGAGTGATCTTGGTCTGAACATGGCACAAAGATGGTAGGTTTAAGTTTTGCTCTTGCAAGGTTCCATGATATCGTCGTTGCAAAATGCATGGTTGTCATTGCGTGTCGTTGCCAATCCCAATATAGCAAATGCAACAGATGAGCTGTGGCCTTATGAACTCTCAGCAAGGTCAACGACCAGGTCATGTATAGAAATTGGAAAAAAGTGTCCACATGGCAGTTTCTGGACTCCCTTCATAGAGCAGAATCAAAGAACGCTTGACCTCTTTTTGTAAACGATTAGCACTCACTCAGCATGTGCAACTTTGACACTAAAGAGCAAACAAGAGCAGCTGCGCGAGGAAGATTACCACGTCATGACGTCACCTTGTCGCGTCTCGCTCAGTTCATCAGGATCTTGAAGACGTGTCAAGACTTGTCCGCATATCGCTGCTTCTTCTGCAGAACTAAGTCAAGCCAAGCTTGTCCTCACTCGACATGAGCAGTCTGAACTGCGAGTGCTGCAGACCTTGAAAGACCTTTCCCACCCACACCTTCCCTGATACCTGGAGGACCGGGAGAATATCAACGCTTCCATGAAAGACCAACGTGACTATCTAACATGCTAAGTAAGCAAGGGAAGGATTTTGCGTAGACTTGCCTACTGACATCTTCAAACATTGTCCAGCAAACATCAGCCAGCAAGTATTAGGATCGAAGTCCTCTGTGGTTTAGCTCTGTTCTGACCTTTGCAGAGCTCAAACAAACACGGTCTGCAAGGGACTAAAACTGACAAGAAGAGTTCATGCAGCCCAGAAGGGGTACAAAATAATTGGGTTGGCTTAAAATGTCACACAGATCTCATAGTTTTGGGAAGAGGCTGCAAACAGCGACAGAAACCGTTTCGCAGCGTGCGTGTCTCACCTAATCTGTCTCGCAGCTCGTACAGTATCTCCCTTTGCGAAAAAAATGAGCCAACATTGTCTAACATCTTAGCAACTCAGAAAGTCTGAGGTGGGAACCGAACCTCTGTTGGTATGCTGGACGAATCCAGGAACCTCCAAATGTTCAGAGCTTGGACAATTTCTTTACAAAACGGGCAAAGCGCTGAAATTGGTCTCGCCTGTGAAGAGGGCACAGCGTAGTACGCTATGCGGTCAGAAATTGCTGCGAGGGCCACATCGTTCGCCAGGCAGCCAGGCCTGCAATAGTCTGCAACGTGCTGCAAACATATTGCGAAAATGAACTCACTGAACCAAGCTGAACCAAGCTGAACCAGGCTGAACCAAGCTGGATCCTTTTGATCCTCTTGGATTCCTGATTCAGTCCAGAAACAGATGCTCACCTTGAAAGAGTTGAAAGCAAAAGCACGATGCCCTTATGCTGCATCAAGAGAACAAATCGAATGGTGCCCGACATGCGATACTTGGTATGTACATTGTAAATCATACCGTATAAAGAAACACACGCAGCAGGGCTCAGCGCACTACAGCCATGTGGTACAGTCTGCCGACACACAAACAGATACAAAGTGATACAAAGTTTATCCAACAAAGGTCTCAGAACAAGACCCTTTCCCCTGCGCGACAGCATTTCGTACTTGAACAATGCAAACATGGGCCACATTTCCAACATCTTACTGGTCATGAAGGTTTTCCCAATGCTTCGTATAGTTCACTTACGCTGTTTGCATCTGTTCGTGCACTGTTTTGTAGAAAGTGTCGGAATCATTTGCCCAATGTTGCTCCAATCTCATTCTCTGACCCTATGCCCACATCTGCAAGTACCAGGTCCTGGAGTTGTTCCAAATTTGTCGGTGCAATGCATTTGCCACAGGTATGAGAGCATCGGCCTCAGTGCAAAGCGGGCGGTGGGACAAGGTCTCGTGCACAGCTGAACTTACAGCAACTGACACTACACATTTAAAAATTGTTTGCGCCACAGTACATCATAATACGCTCTAATGTATGTTGTTCCTTTTGGTATATCTAGGAGTTCGCGCCCGGTGGCCTCTTTTTTGCCTCCTGCCAGTTTACAGGTCCTGAAACTGTTGCAGTGCCTCTCAACATTTGCCTTCTTTTGCGCTTTGGCTTGAAGGCATCTAGAGCTGCGACAAGTCTAGCCAAGCTCTGCTTGAAACAGTACCATGGGAGGCAAAGGAGCCACGAGGAACCTGCAAGGCAATTGTCAAAGATAGAGACTGTCACACTAGAGACCCACAAACAAAGGATGACAAAGGATGACAAAGGATGACAAAGGACGACAAAGGATGACAAAGGATGACAAAGGATGACAAAGGATGACAAAGGATGACAAAGGATGACAAAGGATGACAAAGGCATCATAGAGTTCTATCATATACCAGAGCTCTCCACAGCTCTACGCACCTCCAGCCCGTATGCAATGCCACTGGACTTTAACCACGTGACCTCGCAAGTCATGTCCGAATCGCGAGTCGATGAGCCGATGAGCAGGGTTCTTTTCTGGTGACATGATAATTATGATGATCGGCCGTCATTCACACAGGATCTCTTGGATTGCTCTACAGACTCTACAAATCTCTACAAGTCCACAAGGTATTGGAAACCAATGGAAATTCACAGCGCGTTTGGCCTTGGAATCATTCTTGCGAAGTGGGGCGATTTCCAGGAGCTTTCCAGTACTGTCAAACCAGCCGATGTCCAGATCCTGTTTAAGCAAAAAGATGCAAAAAGGATTCGAATGTCTTTGCAACTTCAAGACTTTGAGAACAGGCAAAGACTTCCCTCGGGAGCGGCTTACTGCTTCAGACAAAGCAAAGTGCCACCAGAAGTTCACGGCAAGACTTGAATTAAAGGCAGCAAATAGGAAGCGCACCGGGTGACATTTGCTCATGTTACAGAGGCATACGAGTATATATAAAGCTGCATCATGCCATAATATATACGTAGAGATACGTAGAGATACGCAGAGTTTGTCAATGGAATTTGATGAACATTCGCTCTCCTGAGGTGTGTTCTGCATGACATCACCAACAGGCCCGTCTTCTCCATGTTGGCTATGCTGCGGGTAGCGCAGCAGTAAGGCTTCTCCAGCACGCAGAAAGGTGCGCCCTTCAAGGCCTCGACGAGTTTCCTCTGGGGTATCTGCCTGAATGCACATGCTCGTCAAATGGCTTTGACAAAACTCAAATAGAACATCTGCAGTAATAAAACACTTTTTTAAATCAAAGAATTCCAATATCTCCACATTGGTTTCAGGAGTTTGGGATATGTATATATGTTCCTTTTGACCTTTTCTGTTTGCTCCATTGGCAGATTGCACTTGGAACTCAGGAACTTACAAATTTTACAAAGCCGTTCCTTTCTTGGCGGTATGAAATGGATATTGGTTACACGATGTTACACGTAAAATCACGTGAAATCACGTGAACAATGTGAACATAAAATCATATGAAATCGGAAAATGTGCTAACCTCAGCTCCAAGGCGATCAAAAACCATTCCAACCAGGAAGTTTTTGTCAGGACCAAGTGAGAGTTCAATCCTACATGTGGAAGGTTTTCCTTCGGCTCAGCAGTTGAAGGGGATTTGTCGTGATAATGGTACAGCCAAGAATAAGGAACACGTATTGGCATACTAGAACACAAGATAACACAAGCATTCAAACAGGATACAACACGAAATGCCAAGTCCTGAAAAGCTTGAGAAAGCAAAGATGAGTTGAGGACGAGGCACAAAGGCACCCTTTTCATAGTCCATCAGCAGTTTGCCATTTGCATCACGAACTTTGATGTGGGTTGGCCGAAAAGCTTGAGCAAGTGGAGCTTCTAAACCTTGGCGTAGCTGCACAGCTTGGGGTGTCATGCCCAAGTGATCGCAAGTGATCGCAAGTGATCGCAAGTGATCGCAAGTGATCGCAAGTGATCGCAAGTGATCGCAAGTGATCGCAAGTGATCGCAAGTGATCGCAAGTGATCGCAAGTGATCGCAAGTGATCGCAAGTGTACAAGTTGTATCAAGTTGTATCAAGTTGTATCAAGTTGTATCAAGTTGTATCAAGTACCTGTAGTGTCTTGCCCGTCACCTAAAAAGGATCGAGTGGTGATGTATGGCAGCGTGTTCAAGCCTGGGACCCTGCTTGAAAAAATCAGGGGCAAACACGCATCAATTTGAAACCGCAAGAAACTCGCATTCGAACACAAAACCTAGCAAACTTACAATTTTGGCAAACAAACACACGTTTATATTTGGGCTATAGGGGTTAACGATAAGATGGCACACCGAAACCAGGTGCACTAAGATGGCAACAGGCATTTTTTCAAAAAATCGCAGGGGTCAAAGAGGTCCACCCGTGGGGCCAAAGATGGCACACTGCTATACAAACCATTGAGGCAGTTGTGTGCCATCTTAGCCGCCTAAATATTACAATAAATAAATAAATATATATATATATAGACATACATACATACATACATACATACGTGTATTATATATATATATATACGTATATTTATTTATTTATTTATTTATTTAGGTACGGTTCAAACTTTCCTTTTCCTTTCCTTTTCCTCTTCCTTCCTTACCTCTTCCTTCCTTACCTCTTCCACTCCTGTTCCTTTCATCTTTATTTCGTTTTCCTTTCATTTTCCTTTCCTTTTCCTTTCCTTTTCCTCTTCCTTTCCTCTTCCTTTCCTCTTCCTTCCTTTCCTCTTCATTCCTTCCCTCTTCCTTTCCTTTGTTTTCCTTTTCTGCTCCTTTTCCTTTCGTATTTTTGACAAAACCATGGATAACGATAGGCCCACCCCCCGAAAGCAATACCCTTTTTTCAGGAACTTAGGGAAGACAATGAGTTTTGACAACGGCTCTTACAACGGCAAAATCAAGGTCCTGCCCAGGAAAATGAAGAGTAAAGATGGCACACTGCCAAAGAATCGCCCAGAAAATTGCAACCCAGAAAATTGCAATATCTGCGCACAGAGGTTCGGGTCATTGAATTATACATTCAAAGCAAAAAAGGAAGAACCGTTTTTGGGTCGCGAGATGTTTTTTTTCAACACCGCTTGTGGGGGGCTGCCAAGGAACACTAAGATGGCACATCCAGGCACATCCTGTCCGAGAAGGATGAAAACTGCTAAAGTTTTTTTTTACTGGTGTATTTCTAAAAAATAATAAAGCTCGAGGACTTCGACTGGTGGACCTCCGGAGTTTCCCTTCTCCAGGCCACATGGCCACAACGGGGAGCCCCCGTTAAAAACAACAACAAGGGGAGACCCAACGGGAGGGAAACAACAGGAAAATGAGAAATGTCACGTTTATATTTTTTAAAATTTCTTTACTTGTTTCAGAATAAAATATGTATATAAATCGAATGAAAAAATGAAAATCACATTTTTTTTGAAATATGTTTTTTGTATTTCTTTCCTTTCTGTTTATACTAAACATGTTTTAAAGCATTATGATACACTTTTGTATTTAAAACCGAATGAAAAAATACAACAAACATATTTTTTAAAAAATGTGTGATTTTCTTGTTTTCATTCAATTAGTTATATTTAGAAACATTGATTTTAAACAAAATCACAGAAATAGAAATTATCAATATTACATTTCCTCTTTTTTTTTCATTTTTCGTTTTTCCATTTGTTTCCCCTTTTGTTTCCTCGTTCTCTTTCCTTATGGTGTTGTAGGACCCCGGTGGATTGCCCCGGTGTGTTCCCCTTTTGTTGGATCGAAGTCCTCGAGCCTTCGAGCCTCCCGTCCCCGGGTCGAAGTCCTCGAGCCTGCCATCCCCAGCTCTGAATGATTAATACTTTAAGATATGTGCCACTATTTTTCATTATTTTTCAGTGTTTCTTTTCATTTTTTGATGGTTTTCACTAGTTTTCATTGCTGTTCAATGATTTTACCAGAACACTAAGATGGCACATCCAGGCACATCCTGTCCGAGAAAGATGGTTGGGTTTTTTCCCTCCTTTCCACTGCGAAAAATATGAAAAATGAGCAGCAGAACCTCAAAACCGACTGTTTCACATAGGAACCAGCAAGGGGTTAAGCGTTTTTGGGTGGCCAGACATTTTTTGGGAGGCTGCCACGGAACACTCAGATGGCACATCCAGGCACGTTGATTCCAAAAAAATGAAGCGTAACGCCTCAAAACCACCTTTTTCACATATGACAGCCATTTGAAAGTCAACACATACATGGAGCTTTCCACACAAGACAAATGTATAAATCCTGCAAATGGGGGCACGCTAAGCTGGCACACACCTCTCTCCAGGCCATTCAATCGGGGAAGACTATGCAAAAATGCAGGCAGGACCATGCAAAATTGTGAAAAACACACTGGAGGACTCAAGGAAAAAACATATGGAGTGACACAAGCCAAGAGTGAAGGTCAAAACATACATGGAGTTTTCCAATACAAGACAGGTGCATACTTCTTGCAAGTGGGGGTGTGTCACACTAAGATGGCACACCATGCTTTCAACAGATGCGGGGGATAGCGGCACTAGTTTTCAAATAGTTTTGGTGTCTTAAGTCACTATGATGGCACACAGAAAGGGGGGGTCCTAGAATACCATCATACACCACCGTTTTCGTTGAGGGGTATGAACGCTTCTTGGATGGCACAAATGCATCGTTTTGTGTGTGCCATCTTACCGTTAACCCCTATACTCAGCAACAAGGAGGTTTCCTACACAAAGTTCTGGATAGAAAGGGGGACTTCAAAAACAAAAAAACAATCTCAACATATCTCAACCATGTCCAAAGGATGCCTCCAAAGGTTGGAGGCCCTTTGTTTCATAGGCCCTCTCGCTCCCTCAGTTTTCAAAATCCCGCTGAGAAGTTACAACACAGCTATAGTACCCGTTCCCTCGAGACACCGTTTCACCAAACCATTCAAGTCATTTCAAGTCCACTGCCTCCACAATAGTATTGCACCGGATCAAACATCCACTGACGTACCTTTGTCAATACTTTGTCAGTCATACTACAGTCATACGTAAATTGAAACACGGTGCAGGAAATGGAAAATGAATGAACATGACACAAATACTAACAACCTTCGGAAGAAGTGAAAGAGGCAACCTGATGCACTCAAGCATTTTGTGAGGCAAAAAGACTAAACCGGTGCCTTTTGTGTTCCTTTTCAATCCTTTTGTTGGGGCAGCAAACATGCTACTTCTTGAGGATGCTGCAAGCACTCTGCCTCGCAAATCTTGCACTTTGCAGGTGCATTTCTGCCATATCCATCATCACACGCATAAGTTGACCACCTAAAGCATTTCGCCATTGTCTTTTGCTGCGTTGTTACATGTTGTTACCATCGCTCAACATAAGAATGGACATGCGCTGCCTTCACCAGAAATCCGCTAAATCGATGCCAGCTTGGGCGATCCATCGGAATATCTCCAAGCCACCTGTACAAACGGAAACTCAAAAAGCTGGAATAGCTGGAATTCAAAAAAAAAATGCAGACATTTGAACTCCAGCAAATGCTTCGTGAACAGTGGATTGATCCCACTAATTGCTGCTCACGTCGGTACACTCATGACATCTCATGACCATCCTAGTTTCTGGTCCTTGAATGTATGCCATGAAAGCAAATCGACACAGACGTACGAAGCAGGTGGCTGCATCTGATGCTACCTGCGATGTGCATGTGATGCTGCATGTAGCTAGTTAGTTACTTCAGACATCTTCAGACCAAGCGACCACTTCTGACACGCCAAAGATCTCGGCTCAGAGAGATCGGGAACTTTGTCCATGACTTCGTGCCACACGCCATGAAGCTGGAGATCGCGCATGGGAGACACCGCAGTCTCAAGCCATGGCGCTCAAATACTGGACAACAATGGACAACACTTACAATGTCATAGAAAGTCTTAATCATGTGCAATCACCCAAGTGATGTCATCATAAAGTGAATAAACTCACTAAGGCTGTCTGATGCTGTCAGGCTGTCCCTGCCAGAGTAATTGAAGCATGCCTCTTCTTGACTGGAAAGTAAAAAAATGCGAAGCATGTCTAAGCCAAGTGGCAGTGCTAGTCGTCTCGAGGATGAGCGTGTTATGATGAGTATGAAGGCAAAATTGATTGGAAAATCAAACAGCTTGGACCAGTGGATCAAGCAGAGTTGAAACAAAGCAAATGAGTCTCCAAAGAGTAAGAATGCGCACTTGTCACTTTGGGAGAGGATGAGATCCTGAAACCAAACAGGTTCAAGGTTTCACGAGGTTCAAGCAGTCCAGCCATCCTGACTATCCCAACGATCCCGACAGAAGAAACTCTTGAACCACTTGGGCCACCACTTGGGCCAACTAGATCTACGAGAGATTCTACGAGTAACATGTTTGGGGAAACTCCGGCGTCTCCAAGTCCGACACTCTGTAAAGCATTGCGTAGAATCCGTAGTTCACTCCATGCCTCAAATCGACGTCATGTTTTGCTGTCTATGTTGTTATGATGTCAAAGCAGTACAACGACCTTCCAAGTACTAAGCCAAGCATATGCCAAGCATCTCACCTGCACATCTCTTCAGGTTCGTTGCCGTCTGGTTGCACTCGGGTGAGATGCCTGCACAACTCCGTCACACTAAGTCACACTCTGTCTAGTCTTTTGATGTCTTTTGCCTTGGTACTGTACTCAAAGTATCTTATATAAAGTGCCATATCGTGCCATATCGTTCCTATTGCCAAGTGGTTCCAATTGAGGTAGACTGCTGCCAAGCCGCGGCGTGACACACACACCATACGGACATTGCGATCGTAGAGAGATCACATCCCAATCACAAGGCACCTGGAGTCACTTCGTCTAAGCACAACAGAATATGCTGACTTTAGTTTTGGGGCATTGGCCTTGAAGTGATTTTAGATATTCTGCCATGAAATGGTACAGTATCACATACGTGTATGTACAAATATATATATATATGCATGTTATATTATGTGTATATATATATATATACGTATATGTGTATATTATATATAACACGTATACCCCCCAACCCAATCCGCCCGAAGACACAACATTGCATTTTCAAGCAACCACGAATCAGGCATCCTGAGAGTATAAATATATATATATATATCCTCAGCATGCCTCCTTTTTTTATCGCACCGCAAAATCTGAATTGTCAAACAAAAAGCAATGGAATCACCCAGCTGCACGAAAAAGAGGCAGCCAAACTCAATAGATTTTCTTCCCTTTCCATGTCCCCCTGTGCTACTCAATTTCCGAATATGCTCAGGGCTCGGCAAAGCCTTTTCAAAAGATCTTTTGTACATGGTCACAAAACTATCCAGTTTAGCTGTGCGTATTTTCATGTCATGCAAATTGGCTAGGCCTGGTTAATGTACATTTATGTACACTCTTGCAGTTTTTGTGATTGCCATCGGCTTTGCACAGTGGACAGTCAAATGACCAATGTTACCTAAACCAAAAAGTGGCGCCTCCGCGGCGTAGAAATTGAAAGGCCTATGAGCCTATGAGCCCTAGGGTTTGGAGATGTTTGGAGATCAAAAAAAATGGGTGCGCCAATGTGCGCCATGCACTCGGTGAGAGAGCCAACTTTTTGTTCTTTCTTTCCCAGCTCGGAGCCGTGGCACCACCGCGTTAACAGTCGTAATATGTTCTCATATGCTCAAGCCGAGACTACAAGGCAAACAAGGAGTTGCTTAACCTTTATCCTCGGGGTCGTGGGAACATGTAATCATGCATTATACTATATAAAGACTATGATATGACATAGATGTAACATGTATATGTATATATACATATGTATATACATATGTGTGGGTATATTTATATGTATATGAATCATATGATTTTATATGTATGTGTGCGTGTGCGTGTGCGTGTGCGTTGTGTGTTATGTATCATATTTTGTATCAAAGTGTGCCATAATGTGGAATTATTCACACTTTGGAGCCACGCGCCTCGTCTCGAAGTAAATTGCGTAGCTTCAGCTTGAAATCATCCTCAAATACAGCACTAGAGCAGCACAAGGGTGTTTGTGTAGTTTTGTGTGGCATTAAGAGAATTTCCACCAAGTTCACACCAAACGCAACGGCCTCAAGCCATACATCATCTTCCAGTATCAGGACTAGTGGCCTCCAAAATTGCTGTCTCAACGACGGTGCGGTCACAGTCGAAACACTCTCTCAGACATTCTCTCATTCAAAAACCAAAAGAGAAATGGCACAAAGGGGCACAGAAGGATGTTGACCCTTGAATTTGTCCAACAAGCGTCCATAGTTTCTTTCGACGGAGCAAGAACTCGACTCAGCGATACAGCTTGTTGAGTGATTTGACAGAGCGTCTTTCAATGAATATATACTGTAAGGGTTTACAATTGGCATTGCGGCATTGACATTGTTTGATCATGTTTGATCAAACGTGCAATAAAATACGTGGTCGCATCAAACACAGCATTCGCATTTCGACGTGGTCTTATAACATGTACCATTCATCCAGTTGATCCGCCCTCCGCCCAAGGCACTTCTTGGAGTGCCAAGCACTTGCTGCTTGCCACATGGCACGAAGGTGGGCTGCCGCCTTGAAACATGAATTGCATGGAACAAATCAGGTTTTGCCTTGAACCATTCTGAAACATTTTGAAACCCATGCACTGTCTGCCGATCCGAAGATCAAAACAGGAAAGGGCCCGATTTACGATCCAAATCGATACATCCCGTTACAGCCCAATTATGAGCCAGCATACCGTTGCTAAGCCTTGCTACAACGGCTGTGACAGCCGCTACTACTTTGTTTCCGAAACAAATGCAGATGGATCTGAAATGATCTGAACATGTCTGAACTATTCTGAACTGCTCTTCGTAATATTTCGTAATATTTCGTAATATCTCGTAATACTTCGTAATATTTCGTAATTGCTCGTAATTGCTCTTGCCAATCCTGGCGATGCACTGAGGTGCGGGCACAGCCAACGGTTCCTATTCCATAATTGTCTAGGTACCTGATGCGCAGTGCTGAAAATATGACAACTGCGGTAACTACGGTAACTCGCTGCTCTTTTCCAAACTGTGCTTGGCACACTTGGTTACAAGTGGTAGAATTCATCAGTACTGCAACGTCTTTCACCATGAATCCAGGCTACTAGTTACTGTAACCCTCCACATAGACTCTACATATTCGTGATTAAACACCGCCTTGGTCTTAGCAGCTTTTACTCTGCAGTTACAGCCCATCGCTTCAGGGTTCTTTCAGCAAAGATTCACAAGCAGGAGTCTGCTGACGCATTCTCTTCAAAACGGATAATCCAGTGCAGGACACGAAAGCGTTATTTGACCTCTTGCCTTTTGATCCTTTAGGACGTAGTGACATGACAAGGAATCACACATGTATCAGCTGAAGGTTATCGTTGACACCATTTAAGTGCTGCCTATTGGTAAAATGCCGCATCCAACTGAACTTTTTCCATGTAGGACATTTGGCCTCACAACCTTCCAAGCTCCCGAGACATCCGGAGACGATGGTCTTTTTGTCACACGTTCTCAGATGGGCCCTCTCTAGGCTGATCACTGAGCACAGGACCTCTGCGCAGCTGCTGCAGAGCTCTTGTGCAAAAGCCTGTCACCAAGACTTGACCAAGACACGTTGTGCAACAGCAAGAAAATTCTATTAGCTTTGGTAAGCTTTGAGTAGCCTCTCCACAAGCAATACCAAGCAATACGGCTGAAATGCAAAATGTGAGGATAGACCTTGACTGAATTTGATCCTGAGACATGTACTTTCTACATCTTCCTATATACCCCATGCAGGCTGTGCCTAACCATTGTTTCCTTGGCTGCAGTAAAGTTCCAATCATTTGGAACAAGCCCGTCCTGCACTTGCTTAGCGCTTGCACAGCTTGCATGAAAACTGTAGGCTTTTGAAGAAAGCTGAACAGCCAACGGATTAAATTCCAGTGCAAAATATGTGCTTCTTTGTTGGAGTTGGATGCAGCATTCCCGAATATAAAGAAATATGTGAAAATATGTGTATATATAATATATAATATGTATAATATATATATATGTATATAATATTATATATATAATATATATAATATATAATATATTTTATATATAATATATTATATATATACTCATAATATATCATAATAGTATATATAGCGAGAGAGATTCAATTTGACTTGTATACACTGGGTACATATCTTGGCCGAACACAGCGGTAGGCCTTCTTCGCCTGGTCCAGGCCGAGAGAAAGATCGATACCGTCCAATCGCTTCGCGTGGATCTCCAACTCCTGGCGAAGAACAGCTCAGAAAGTAATGCGCTAAAGGCTTTAAGTAATGTTAAGTATCAGATATATCTTTAAGTCAGTCACGTCATAAGCTACTTAAGTAATGCTTGACATGTATTGCTTGACTTTTTTGTTACATCATCAGTTCCTTGCAAAAAAAAAAAATGCATCAACTCAAAACTGCTGTCAAGGGTACAAGTATGTACACATAAGATCAATGATAAAGTATATAAAAGTTGCAGAAGTGTTTCATAATGTTTCATAATGTGTCAATGAAATGTTCAATGTGTTTCATATTTTTTGTCACGACATTGTCTGCACTTTCTGCGTTCCACACAACGAAACTCGAAGCTCCTGCAGCCTCCTGGCTGTGACACATGGGGACTGAAACGAAGATTCAACCGATTTCAAGCGACCGTTCCAAACAAAATGATTACTATACAAATTATACAATAGACAATCAGTTAGACAACACATAAGTTACGCAAGGCATGAACGGACGCAGCAACTTTTCAAATCTTTGCAGCAGGATTGCATTTTTAATGCATGAATTTCACACATGATATTAGTTGATATAATTGGATTCAATATGATCAATGGGTTCTCTTCACAATAAGCTCAGGCTCCGTGAATTTCAAAGTCCTTGAGCCCGGCCTTGACATTTGTGCCCAGCGCTCTGTGGCACTTGGCATGTTGAGGACGTACACAGCAACCTGAAACCGGTCTACATGGAACGAACACGAACGAACCTGACTTGCTGAGTTATCTGAGTTGCTTTGGATATGATGAAGCAACAATGTGAAGCTCAGAAATCGGCGTTGCGCTGAAACCAGAAGTGAGCTTCAGCGGACTGTATGTGAAAAGCAGCTAGCCTTGACATGCAGGAGAACTGAGGCGGAATAGAATCAACTGACTGCTGTTGCTAGATGCAGCACTGCGGCTATCACGAGAGAACGCACAAAGAGTCTTAAAGAGACAACACAATGACAACACATCCATGACATGAACACACAGAAGGATGCACCAACAGGCCATGGTGCACCTCCGTCACACACGGATCTGACTCTGGTGCTTAAGCGCCCTATATCCACACATTTCTCTTGGTCACTTTTTGCAAACTACTTCGAGCAGAGATCCCACTGATCAATGTACACGGAATCCAATAGAAAATTGATACTGTACAATTTGTTGTGAATCAAGTTCATGCAAAGAAAAGCACTATATATATAGTTCTATATATATATCATATTTGCATCAGTAGGACTAGAGGATGCAGTTAAAATACGCAACATCAGGTGTTTAGCCGAGATCACATTCTCATGCTCATGGCAAAAGGAATGCCATATAATGCCATATAATGCCATACTCAACAACACAGTACCTAGGATCCACCCTGCAGAAGATATGGCATTGCATGAGACCGAAAAGCAGCATTCATCATCAATCCACTTTGAAGTAAATTGAAATAACTGAAATAACACTAAATAACTAAATAACTACAGTAGATGGACAAAATATTCAAACCCTGCAGCACGTACTATGTTGAACCCCCGCACCCCCAAATCTCAATGTTTCAGCGCGCGTGTTACCAAAAGTGATGTTAGGGGTTTGATTTTTTCGTCCATTGGGGCTAATGCATTTCAGGTTACATTGACACTGAACTTTGGGGGCGAGGGGGTTGTACCGGATAGAAGGGATTTGAATATTTCGTCCATCTACGGTAGGAACCAGAACATACCAGAACCAAAGCTTGATGCATTGTGTGGCAGTTCACTGTGGTTCCCAAGCATGCCAACTGCAGCCAAATGAACTTCTGCTCTTGCTCTTTCGCTTCTTTCGGCTTCAACTCAGCACCTTGAGAAGGAGTCAAGCTGTCCACACACAGACATGAAAGAGTGTTGGCTGCAAACATCATGCATCTGAACTTGCATTCACGATAATTCACGATATTATGCAGAATTGAATCCAACCTCCATTCCTTCTGGACCGAGAACCTTCTCAGCAGATACCACAAGAACTCGCACTGCTGCCATGACACCCAGCACGGGCTTGTCGCACAGCTCAGCATTTTGCAGAGCAGGCAAATGAGGCAACATTTGCATTTCTGCTTTCAACTCTTTTTGATTGTGCCTCGTGGCAGAAAGTGTGAAAGCACGTGGGCTTCTCTTCCAGTCCAATCAAAGTGCCGGCATCGTCGGGGCGTAGCATCTAAAACAAGCACTCTAGAAAAAGGCAATGGTATAGATTCTGGTACAAAAATCTGCAACATGTATCGCAATGTATAGTATAGAGTATAGACTACCCAATTCCCAATTCATATCAATTCATCAATGAATTCCAAGTGCAACTGGGCCTCATCTCTTCGTATGCCACGCTCTCCGCGTCATACCACGTGTGATGACCATAGCAGGCGTGGCGCTTAGCCGCCTTTGCAAGGACGCTGATAGTCTGTGCAGAATTTCGTGAGGTTATCCTGTCAAAGATGGAAGGACACATCACAACACTCCTGCATATTCCATCATATTCCTGCGGTTGCAACCTCTTAGGTCCAAAAGCTTTGGTTGGTTGATAGATGCTTTCAAATGTTTTCGCACAATCCCTTGCTGAGCCCCCAACCACCCAACACCAATTGCGCCCTGGCCAAATCCAGGAACCTGCATCAGGCTGCTTCTCACCTTGGGATGTGCTGTTTGAACTTCATAGAACCGATGCAAAAAGCATGCATCAAGATGCCATAAATTCTTATCAAAGTTATCAAAGAATGCAAACGCTGTCAACAGATATGTTAGACACGTGCTTCAGTCCAGAGACAACTCTGCAAAGCAGATTGCGGCCAAATGCTTTGGAATGAACGGACTGCGCCTTGGCTGAAATCTGGGCATGGAAGCGTTCAAAATGCTTCCTGATGCTTCCTAGTTTCCTAGTCTCATGAGTCATCAAAATCATTGAAAAATTCAAAAATTGCCAAGGCTCCCTCGGGCGAAGAAGTGTCTTGGTTGCAAAAGCCCTCGAACCAGTCCGTCTGCTGCAACTGCCTCCACTATGCTGGGTATTCTGCATTTGGAGGGAAAGCTACAAGTAAGATCAATTGTGTCAGACTTCTCTCAGCTATCTTTATATCTTCATAAATCCTCATAAACACTCCATCTCCTTTCGGCTGCATTTGACAAGCACGAGATTTTGACTCCACACGCTGTGACTCTGCTGTTCCAAAATGTTCCACAATCCGCACAATCCGATTGAATGTCTTTCGATGTCTTTCGCTTTCTTAGACTCTCTTAGACTCTTACCTGTCACTCTCTTCGAGGCATCTCGAGAAATTGACGAATGCCGCGCCCAAGAGCGCAACATAGATGGCATGGCAGGTACAGCTCATGCGACAACTGCAACAACCGAGCCAAGAGCCAAGCATCCGTTTCCTGACTTCTAAGATGTTCAGCTCTACCACCAAAGCTTCCAGATATCAGGCTGTTCAAGTGAGAGAGCACGACAAAGATCACCCAAAAAGGTTCATTCGATAAGTTGGAGCTCCTCTAATTGCGCTGTGCTCTTGGAACTGCTTTAAGATTTACTGTAAGTGACATAGCTGCATTGAATGTGGCTGCAAGATGCTGCAAGTAAATAAGGCAATGAAGACCTGACCTCAGGATCTCAGGATTGTCCTGTTGGGCCAAACTGTTCGATGCAAACGTTCTGTCTAGGACCATAGGGAGAATAAGGGCCTGCGGCCTGCTGTTCTGGCACGTTCTGGCACAACTCACACATGGATCAGAACGGATACAAATAGCACGTGTCAAATACTGGGGGCTAACCTTTCATGTTGCTTCATGGCAGATTCAAACATGTGCAATGTGCAATTACCTAGAACATACATATTGTATCATATTGTCATGTTTCGCCCCATTTGTGTGGGTGTGTGTGTGTGTGCTTCGCATCGTGTTCATGCACGGTGTCTGTTGCTGAGGCTGCTTGTTTTGCCGACAGTGAAACAGCTGTCACCACTCCACTTCGAGGTTGGTCACCATTGGCACGAAGTGACTGACAACTGAAAGGAACAAACAGTTGGAAAGACTTCGGGGTGCGCTGCTTACATGCTTTGGCCAACTGGGCCAACTGCTTAGGTGATGTGATGCTTGAAGTCTCACTTCAGCTGCCTCACCTCCGCACATGCCTTAGGCATGGGCACCGAGATGCGGCTTGCGCACCAGGGCAACCTCTTGCGATCAGTCGGCAAGTCGGCGTTGGCGTGCGATCACTTCTGCATTCCTGCATGGATTGTGAAGTGGTGTATGAATTTGAGCAATGGACTCAACATGTCTCAACTCTCTCCATGAAGGAATGGTACGGAAAATATCATGGCAAAGGACACTCGCACTCGCAGAGACAACGAGCCTGCTTCAACAAGTCTGCTTCTCAAGAAATCAAAAAACAGCCACTTGTGGTGTGAAACGACAATCCAATCCAAATCACATCCGAAAAGTGAATGTGAAACAAATTTTCCTTCTTGCAAAAGTGAACCAGCGAACATGCCCATGGCAATCCATAACGATCCATGACGATCAATGGCAATTGACCTAAATTGCACCAGCGTTCGGCGCACCTCAGTGGCACTTCAGCCACAATGCGGCTTCCTCCTACACCATCTGGGTAGCAACCTGTCCCGAGGATTGTCGAGGCAAACAGCCTGTACGATACTGCAAAGCGATGATGAAGTCATGTGTTACAGACATATATCACCGAGTATCATCTAAAGATATCTAAAGTCATGTCATATAGTCATATATAATCTGTATCATCCTGTATCAACATCTGTTATTGACTGCGCCTGCCTGAACGCACGTTCTTACCAGATGCTGCACGCAGATTCCTCGGTTTCCGTTGGTACAGTTTTTGAATGTGTTTGATACATGCTGGAATATTACCCTTAAGATCCTATAAGTCAATCTTACAAGTACCATAAGTGTATAACAGTGTCTAGTAGACTCAAAATTTGATGTTGGCAAGTGATATGAACCCATCCTGCGCCTCTATTTCATCTCTTGCTCGATAAGAAAGCGAGCAACGGGCTAAAGCGACCACCCCCCATTAAGCGATGCAATAAGAAAAGTTTGGCACTGCTTCATATTTGGCATACGGTATACGGTATACAGTTTATAGATGCTTATACATGATTGTACAACATGAAGAGATGTTCAAGGCATCTGATGGCAAGCGCAGGACGCCTGTTGTACAGTCTTACAGCTTTGGCCAAGCATTTCTGAGTCACCTACGGCTCTCCACACTCACCTTCACCTTTTGCTACTTTGTGGCAGACTTCATGATGCCTCGGCTGCAAAAACTATTCGAGCAGGGGTTCATCTTCATAGCACTAGCTGCGCTCAAGCTCTCCCTTGCAATATTTTCCAATTCAATCCCAGTTTGCTCTCTATTTCAATAGCAATTTCCACATTTCAAACATGTCCTGTCTCTGATGCACTTCCCACGTGCAAAGCTGTGGCATTTGGCAGGAGAGGCAGTTCCGCAACAGGTTTGCTGCTTTGAATGCCTGTCGGAGAATGAACAGGCTGCATAGAAGCAAATGTGACATTCAAAGGTGCTTTGCTTTTGTTACATAGTAACAATCATCTTCGAGGCAAAATCTGCACAAAAAACATCTGGCACATCTGCAAAGATTCTTTGAGCAGCCTGCATCTTTTTGCGACCTCACACATTCAGCACAACGGGTACAAGTTGTTACAATATGTTGCAATCATGTCCAAACTGTAAGGAATCAGTGTTGGTTTTGGCCAATGTGTTGAGGGTCTATAGTCTATGAGGATCGGGAGGGTCAAGGAACGTGCAAGCATTGTGTAGCATACTTTTTTTTCCCCACATCTTTGTGTGGGGTTCTTGTTTTTGATTCTGTATCCCGCCGCCTTCTCCGCCTCCTCCGCCGCCTACTTCTGTCACACACCATCTTTCACACACCATCTTTGTCACACACCATCTTTCACACACAACTTTGTCACACACCATTTTTCACACACCATCTTTGTCACACACCATCTTTCACACACCATCTTTCACACACATCTTTGTCACACACCATCTTTCACCACACCATCTTTCACACACAACTTCGTCACACACCATCTTTCACACACAACTTTGTCACACACACCATCTTTGTCACACCATCTTTGTCACCCACCATCTTTCACACACAACTTTGTCACACACCCTCTGTCACACATATCTTTCTCCCCCACCATCTTTCACACACACACAACTTTGTCACACACAATCTTTCACACACCATCTTTCACACGCATCTTTGTCACACACCATCTTTGTCACACACCATCGTGGCAAATGGTGGCATCCACCTTCGTTTCGCGTGGCAGGCGCGTGGCAGGCGTGGCACTTGGTCACATCCACCTTCGTTTGGCGTGGCAGGCATGGCACTTATGGCACTGGGCTGGCTCTGGTGGCGCGCTTGGGCCGGTTTTAGTCGCCGGAGACGCCGCGGCACTTTGCGTGGCAGGCATGGCACTTGGTGACATCCACCTTCGTTTCGCGTGGCAGGCGCGTGGCAGGCGTGGCACTTGGTCACATCCACCTTCGTTTTGCGTGGCAGGCGTGGCACTTATGGTACTGGGCTGGCTCTGGTGGCGCGCTTGGGCCGGTTTTAGTCGCCGGTGACGCCGCGGCACTTTGCGTGGCAGGCGTGGCACTTGGTGACATCCACCTTCGTTTCGCGTAGCAGGCGTGGCACTTGATCACATCCACCTTCGTTTTGCGTGGCAGGCGTGGCACTTATGGCACTGGGCTGGCTCTGGTGGCGCGCTTGGGCCGGTTTTAGTCGCCGGTGACGCCGCGGCATCCACCTTCGTCGTTTCACGTGGGCACTTGGTCACATCCACCTTCGTTTTGCGTGGCAGGCGTGGCCCTTATCGCACTGGGCTGGCTCTGGTGGCGCGCTTGGGCCGGTTTTAGTCGCCGGTGACGCCGCGGCACTTTGCGTGGCAGGCGTGGCACTTGGTCACATCCACCTTCGTTTTGCGAGGCAGGCGTGGCACTTATGGTACTGGATGGTACTGGGCTGGCTCTGGTGGTGGGCTTGGGCCGGTTTTAGTCGCCGGTGACGCCGCGGCACTTTGCGTGGCAGGCGTGGCACTTGGTGACATCCACCTTCGTTTCGCGTGGCAGCTGTGGCACTTGGCCACATCCACCTTCGTTTTGCGTGGCAGGCGTGGCACTTATGGCACTGGGCTGGCTCTGGTGGCGGGCTTGGGCCGGTTTTAGTCGCCGGTGACGCCGCGGCACTTTGCGTGGCAGGCGTGGCACTTGGTGACATCCACCTTCGTTTCGCGTGGCAGGCGCGTGGCAGGCGTGGCACTTGGTCACATCCACCTTCGTTTGGCGTGGCAGGCGTGGCACTTATGGCACTGGGCTGGCTCTGGTAGCGCGCTTGGGCCGGTTTTAGTCGCCGGTGACGCCGGGCGTGGCACTTGGTGACATCCACCTTCGTTTCACGTGGCAGGCGTGGCACTTGGTCACATCCACCTTCATTTTGCGTGGCAGGCGTGGCACTTATGGCAGTGGGCTGGCTCTGGTGGCGCGCTTGGGCCGGTTTTAGTCGCCGGTGACGCCGCAGCACTTTGCGTGGCAGGCGTGGCACTTGGTCACATCCACCTTCGTTTTGCGTGGCAGGCGTGTTACTTATGGCACTGGGCTGGCTCTGGTGTCACTCAAGACTCTTTCACACACCATCTTGGTCACACAACATCTTTCACACACCATCTTTCACACACCATCTTTCACACACCCTCTTTCACACCCAACTTTGTCACACACCATCTTTGACACAACACATTGTCACCCACCATCTTCGACACACCATCTTTCACACACAACTTTGTCACACACCATCTTTCACCACACCATCTTTCACACACCATCTTTCACACACATCTTTGTCACACACCATCTTCGTCCAACACCACCTTTGACACACAACGTTGTCACATACCATCTTTCACACACCATCTTTCACACCCAACTTTCACACACCACTTTGTCACACACCATCTTTCACACACAACTTTGTCACACACCATCTTTGACACACGACTTTGTCACACACCATCTTTGACACGACTTTGTCACACACCATCTTTGACACACCATCATTGACACACCATCTTTTACACCACTTTGTCACACACCATCTTTCACACACCGTCACAGACCATCTTTCACACACCCTCTTTCACACCCAACTTTGTCACACACCATCTTTCACACACCATCTTTCACACACCACTTTGTCTCACACCATCTTTCACCACACCATCCTTCACACACCACTTTGTCACACACCATCTTTCACCACACCATCTTTCACACACAACTTTCACACACAACTTTCACACACACACCATCTTTCACACACAACTTTATCACGCACACCATCTTTCTTTGCCACACACCATCTTTCACATACAACTTTGTTACCCACAACTTTGTTTTACTTCTTGATCCTCCACCACCTCCTTTGTCTTTCCTTCCGTCCCCGTCCCCGCTACAACATTTGGTGCTCATTATTGGAAGAAGTTGCCTTGTGGGGTTTTCCGGTCCTTTAATTTTTGCACATTTCTTGGCGCACGGATGCCAGCAATGTTAAAGTTGTCTGCAGTCCATAGTTTGCGTTCAAATAGACACAGCAGCATAAAGGAGGTATATATGCAGTTTGGATTGCATAGTGATGCTTCGCAGCTATACATACAGTAGATTCGCCTGACTCGGTTTCTCGTACCTGGTCTTAATTGAGTTTTAAGAAATCCGAAAGGTGTCCATGAATCAGTGAACCAACGAATCAGCGAATCAGCCAATCAGTCAATCAACCGATCAATGGGCCAGTGCATCAGTGAATCAACCAACCAATGAATCAGTGAACCAGTGAATCAACGAATCATCGAATCAAAAAAAATGAATGAATCAGTGGATCAACGACTCAATGAATCAATGAAATCAATGAATCAGTGGATCAATGATTGAATCAGTGAACCAACGAATCAAGTGAATCAATGAATAAATCAACCAATTCATCAAAGCGTGAGTGAATCAATGAAGCACTGAACCAATGAGCCAATGAATCAGTGGATCAATGATTGAATCAGTGAACCAACGAATCAAGTGAATCAATGAACCAATCAACCAATGAATCAAAGAATGAGTGAATCAATGAAGCATTGAACCAATGAACCAGTGAATCAACGAATCATCGAATCAAAAAAAATGAATGAATCAGTGGATCAACGACTCAATGAATCAATGAAATCAATGAATCAGTGGATCAATGATTGAATCAGTGAACCAACGAATCAAGTGAATCAATGAATAAATCAACCAATTCATCAATGAATGAGTGAATCAATGAAGCACTGAACCAGTGAGCCAATGAATCAGTGGATCAATGATTGAATCAGTGAACCAACGAATCAAGTGAATCAATGAACCAATCAACCAATGAATCAAAGAATGAGTGAATCAATGAAGCATTGAACCAATGAACCAATGAATCAGTGAATCAATGAATCAGTGAGTGAACGAATGAATGAAGGAATGAATGAATTGAAGGATGGGTGGATGGATGGATGGATGGACGGACGGATGGACGGATGGATGGATGGATGGATGGATGGCTGAGTGAGCTACTTTTCTTTGTGAGCTACTTCTTCATTGAGCGACCTCTTCGCTGAGGCAGCTCTTCTCTCAGCTTCTTCTTCTCTCTACTTCCGCTCTGACCTGCCTCGCAGCTAGCTCATCTGCAGCTCCTGCAACCCAACTCTTCTCTTCGCGCAGCTGCTACAGTGCAATCCCGCATAGCACAAGAGTAGCACTATGGTCAAGAACTACCAGCCAGTACAATGCGTTTAGCAACCTCCAGCTGCAATCCCGCTTGCTAGGAGTGTCGCACCATCACTGGTGCTTTCCGGCGCGCAGCCGTGCCAATGCTTCGTCGCAGCCGGGTGCAAACCCGCATAGCAGGTGCGTCGGAGCAAATCGACCACCGTCAACAGTGTAGACTTTTTGGGGCTGCTCCGAACGTGCCAATTTTTTAACGACTTTTGTGTGAAACCGAGCTCTCGCTACAGTCTGATGCACCTTTTGCCAACCTCATCTTCCAAAAGTGCCCCGCGCACCTCAGTCTTTTAACAGTTTGAAATGCAAATCAAGCACTTTTCGCCGACTCCATCTTCCAAAAGCGCTCCGCGCCCGTCAGTGCTTTAGCATTTTGAAGTGCAAACCGCCCTCGCTAGGGTCCTGTGCACTTTTTGTCGGCAACTTTGCCAGATCGAGGCGCGGAACCGCGGAAACAGAGACCCTACTTCGGCAACCCCAGGAGCCACATTACCTGGAAAAACACAGGGTTTCGCGCCCAAGAAAGTTTTCACCCGTGAATTCACATTTCCCAACTACTTGATGATGAGAGGCTGACATGATGATGTGACTGGCATGATGATGTGGTTGACATGATGGTGCGAATGCCAACCATAACAATCGTGAGACTTGGACGTTTTCCAACTAAACTTCCTTTGAATATGTCTAAAATCTATGACTGTGTTCAAATGTTTGTCCAACATGACCCACCTCATCAAAGGCTCTGAAAGTGATGCAGCTAGCCTCGATCCCAAAGACATGAAAGACATGAAAAGACAGCGGAGCTGCAAAGTCCTTGGGTTCATTTCTGTCCGAACCAGAGCAAAAATCAAATCGAATCCCCTGAGCTTTTCACGCACGAATCTTGTGGAGCTTCTGACGGCCTGCACAGAAAAAAATTGACTCATGGAATCTCATTAGAATTCATGAGAATGTAATGCACCATGATGTAATAAGAGACCGAAGCCAGACTGAAATGGCACCCTGTCCCTGTGTTCGGATTGTCATCTGCCAGAAACTCATGCATGTAGAGTCTGTCAAGTGTGGCATTCGCATGGTGGCGGCTTTTTACAACCACCCACGCACAAAGTAGTAGATTATTGCCAGCAACTCACGCCATGCCTAGCAAGTGATCCAGAAGATGTTGGTATGGTGACACTGAAGAGGGCATGAAAAAAGAAGTCGATAGAACCTATCAAAGCACTTGAGGACACATAACTATGTGTAACTTTGATGTAAGACTAAGAATAATGAACCTGACAGTCAATGTGCGCGCAATAACGCACCTGGAAGACCTCTTCCGCATCCAAGGCAGATCCTGATGTTTCAAGAGATCAACGCAAGCATATGATGATACATACTGCGCGCGTATGTGCACAGTAGATACACTGGTGAAATTTCATCTCTGCATATGCATGTATATGTGCATTGTCAGACATGACGTTGACATTGACATTAACACTAACATTAACATGTTCATTTGCATTTGCATTACATCATTATAATCCGCCGACCCCTGCCAGCAGAGGGAGCACGTCAGAGAAAAAGTGTTGTTCCGGCGTGGCTCGACACTCTTTTTCTAGAGAATTCACACAGCAACGTTATAGTGGCGACAGTGGCATGTAAAAGCTCAATAGCTCCGCCGCCGGAGCAAAGCCGGAGGTCAAGGCACCAAGAGGCTTTGGTGACTGGTTGCTTGGCTCGACCTCCTTCTTGGGCCATGCGTGGTGAAACCTGCAAGTGGGCGCTGTTTGCTTTGCTGGACCGACTCTTTTTCTGCGCAAAGCTAGGCTTGCTGGGCCAACCCTAGCTCCAAAGTCTTTTTCTACAGGGTTCAGAAAGCAACGTTAGACACGATACGTGGGCCTCCAGCCGTGGCTCCACAGCCTTTTTCTTGAAAGCAACCTTACACACTGACGGCTGGAGCTGGCCAGGCCAGGCTTTGGGGGGCTGCGTGCTTTGCTCGGCAAAACTAGGCTTGCTGGGGCAGCCTGGCTCCAAAGTCTTTTTCTACAGGGTTTAGAAAGCAACGTTAGACACTGACGGCTGGGCTTGGCCCCAGGCCAGGCTTTGAAGGCTGCCTGACAGGTGGCTCGGTCCGGCCAGGCTGGCTAGACTTGCCGGGCCAGTCGTGGCTGCAAAGTTTTTTCCCGAGGGCGTTTGAGCGAAGGGTTCTACTAAAAGCGGAGGTCTGATATACATCTTCACATGCTCACATTTTCACATCCTCACATGTTCACATACTCACATCTTCTCATCTTCACATCTTGACAAACTCACACCTTCACATCTTAAAATCTTCCTGCCTTCACATCTTCACATCTTCTCATCTTCGCATCTTCGCATCTTCACATCCTCAAATCTGCACATCGTCACACATCTTCTCTCTCTGTCTGCTCTTCACCTTCACATCTTCACAGCTTCTTACCTTCACACACTCACATCTTTTCATCTTCACATCTTCTTATCTTCTCATCTTCACATCTTCTCTCTCTCTCTCTCTCTTGTCTTTGTCACGGTCTCTCTCCTTCTTGTTCTTTTCTCTCCTACGGTCGCAAGCAGTGCCGACGAGGTGCCACGACATGGCCACCCTTTCGCACGAAATGAGGCTCGGGTGTCAAAAACTGATTGTTTTTTGGGATTTTACCACTTCGGGGGCAATCTTTTCGCACGAAACGAGGTTGGAGTTTCAAAAACTGATGGTTTTTTGCGATTTTACATCCTCCCCGGCGACCCTTTCGCACGAAACAAGGTTCGAGTGTCAAAAATTATTTTTTCCGAGTATGGTTGCTCCGGCGGCAAGAAATGAGGTTCGAATGACAAAAACTGAAAGTTTTTTGCGATTAGACATCCTCGGCGGCAACCCTTTCGCACGAATCGAGTGTCAAAAACTGACGCGAAATGAGGTTCGAGTGTCAAAAACTGAAGGTTTTTGCGATTTTACATTCTCGGCGGCAACCCTTTCGTACGAAATGAGGTTCGAGTGTCAAAAACTGAAGGTTTTTTGCGACTTCGGTTGGTCCGGCGGTAACGCTTTCGCCGTGTGTGTGTAAAAGTGTGTAGAAGCATTTGTGTGTAAAAGTAAAAGCGTTTTTGTGTAAAAGAGTTTGTGCGTCAAAGCGTTTGTGTGTCAAAGCGTTTGTGTGTAGAAGCGTTTGTGTGTGCAAGCGTTTGTGTGTAAGAGGGTTTGTGTGTAAACATGTTTGTGTGTGAAGGGGGTTTGTGTGTAAAAGGGTCTGTGTGTAAAAGCGTCTGTGTGTAAAAGCATCTGTGTGTAAAAGTGTTTATGTGTAAAAGTGTTTGTGTGCGAAAAGGTCCTGTCTGTAGAAGCGTCTATGTGTAAAAGTGTTTGTGTAAAAGGGTTGTGTGTTTGTGTGTAAAAGAGTTTGTATGTAAAAGCGTTTGCATGGAAGCGTGTTTGTGTGTAAGTAAAAGTTTTTGTGTGTAACAGAGTCTGTGTGTAAAAGCGTTTGCGTGTAAACGTGTTTGTGTGTAAAAGTGTTTGTGTAAAAGAGTCTCTGTCTCTGTGTAAAAGCGTTTGTGCAAAAGCGTCTGTGTGTAAAAGTGGCAGCGGTTGTGTGTAAAAGTGTTGGTGTGGTACAGAATCTGTGTGTAAAAGCGTTTGCGTGTAAGCGTGTTTGTGTGTGAAAGGGGTTTGTGTGGTGCGCGAAAGTGTCTGTGTGTGAAACCCAACTTGGCCCAACATAGGCCCAAGATGGGCCCAACTGCGCTCAACGTAGGCCCAGACTGCTTCCATAGAGGCAAGCACTGCGCATTATGCCTGCCTCAGTTCAACATAGCGCTCCCTGGGTTTGCGCGGAGAATCTCGGCCCAATCTTCCCACACCATAAGCCAAACGTCGTTGCTTGGCCGGCGCCCGGCTGTCAGGCGTAAGCCTTTAAATACAACAACAACAACAACAACAACAACAACAACAAAAACAACAACCAGCAGCACAAAAATGCGACAAAAAGATGTGTTACAAGCTGCGGTATGAAAAGCACATCATACTGTGCTCTGCACCTGCGCGCATGCTCCGAGCACATGAACAACACCAACGCTCACACTACTATACATATTACAACCCTTATGGCATCGCCGGTGTGCGAAGCTCTACAATACAACACAATGCAACGCAACACATTACAGTACAATAGAATCACATACATATCCTGACATTAGAGTGCAGTACAGGATATTACATTGTCTTACATGACCTTGCATTACCTTACTTTCCCTTACCTTCCCTTGCATTACATTGCATTATAAGGCATTATATACTTTGCATTGCATTGCATTACACACATACATTCACATCTCAAAGACAAAAGTTGACCAGAATGCGACATCCAGAAATCATCAGAAATACTGGTTGGACACCGCTTCTATCGCCGCCAGGTCGAAGATCTCAAAGCCCCAGTGACTTTCAAGCACCACAGAGACTCTGAGTATCTCTGAGCATCTCTGAGTACTGAGGCAGTTGCCTACTCTAAACAAACGACACGCAAAGCTGGAAACTCTACTCAAGGGCTCAGTTCAACTGTCTTTTCCAAGGTTCGCGGAACAGTTCGCGTGGGCTCGTGGAGCATATAGATTCCAGCTGCTTGAACTTGTGCCTCCTTCAGATAGACCGCAAGGCTAGACACTTCACCGGATGTAAATTTGACTGGTCATTCTTCGAAGGCAGAACCCTCTCAAGTTTAAGTACCCAATTGAACTTTATTCGCAAATGACAGCGGCAAAAGGGTCCTGACTTCTGCTTTTGAACAGTCCATCTGGCCTGCATCACTCGCAAGAAGATACGCCACGCACGGAAGCGGTGAAAGGCATTTGTGGCCTGCAGAACAACACACAGACAACATTGGACAACACCTATATGCCAATCTAGCGTCATTTCTGGCGTGCTGCTTCGTGGCCCTTCGCCTGTGGCAAACCTTGACACATCTTGACACCTTTTGATGGGACCCATTGGGTGAGCTTCGAACGTGCAGATCTTTGCAGTCTAAGCGGCTAGGCAAATAGCACCCGGATTGAGCTGCCCGTTCTGGTCTTGCAGGAGCTTCATGGAGTAAAGCCTGAGTCTCGTCGAAGCCTCTTGGGGTCTGGCACTCAAACTCGGCAGAGAAACTCAGAGAAGCTCAGAAAAACAGAGAGAAACTCAGAGAATCTGTGTGTCTATGCCATGCTGTGCCAAGATACGCGTTGGTGCGGGTTGAGTATGAAGACTCTTCCAGAATGACCTGTGGAAATAAAGCACAAAATAAGTGCTATCGAAAGCGATCGTCTGACCCAGAAGAGGTGCTTCTGGAGTCAAGCCGGGAGAATCAACTGTCTTTCTGCCGTGCTATGCAAATGCTGTGCAAATGCTGTGCAAATGCTGTGCAAATGCTGTGCAAATGCTGTGCAAATGCTCTGCAAATGCTGTGCAAATGCTGTGCAAATGCTGTGCAAATGCTGTGCAAATGCTGTGCAAATGCTGTGCAAATGCTGTGCAAATGCTTTTAGATCAAGAGATTCGAGTCGATCCCAACACCTTTTCACAGCCCATGATGTCAGTACCTCGTCCCACAACTGCAGCTGTTTCGAATTCAGCCATCTCTGCATTGCTTGAGCCTGGTCCCAAGACTCCCCAAGACTCACCAAAACGGCCAAGCGATTACCACAATTGCTACATCGAGTTACCAAAGAATGAGTAGAACTGGGCGCATGCATGGCATTGCATACATCGCTTGCATTGCATGCTGTTGGATGCAACCCAAATATCAAACATTCTCAAAGTATCACAAAATCACCCAGTCTGCTTTGTCGGGATTATTGGCTCAAGAAGCATCAAACCACATTGCCTGACATTGCTTGATCTTGTCACATCTTGTCACTGTATCTGCCTCCGAGTTCACTCCAACATAGGGACCTTTCTGCGCGACGCCGCCGCTGAGAATCAGCCACCTTGTCAACAGACTGCGAATCTGAAACATTCGGCCTTTGTGGATAATGTTCCAAAATATTCGGGCTACATGTTCGACTTGATTTGTCCTCAGTCAAAATGAATCTGCTTCAACTGTCAAGGACACTTTCTCAGCATATGAAAATCACTGCCTGGGAGGAAACCGTGTTGCAGCGCGTTGTGCAAGCTCCAAACGGGCTTCGAGCAAACCACCCTGAGGGCAAATGGATTCACCAGTAACATATGTAACATATCAACTGTTGGTTTGACAATGCGAGCAAATTGTTCAAGGAGATGCTGTGCATCTCTGTCTCTCTCTCTCTCTATCTCTCTCTCTGGCTCTCTCTCTCTCTCTCTCTCGCTCGATGCTGTGTGCGCATGGCAATCTGAGCACAACCTAGATAAAGCGAAGCAGTATGAAGCAGTAAACTTTTTGTCAAGGCTCTGAGGGAACATCTCCAGTTAACCAATCGATCTCAAAGCCCAGAACTATGATGGCCTTGGAAGTGTGGATCGAGACATCTGAAGGTATGACGGCCATAACTCTCGCTTGGTCTTTACAAAGTGATGGCAACACGGTACCATGGTTAGTTCCGCCAGTCAAGCTCTCTCAAATCCATGCATGACTCATGCAGCCTGATTCAAGCGAGGCTTTCAATCAGCAGGAAAATGAAACCTAATTGCTTTTATACAGCGTAGATGATGCGGAATTATGCGGAATTATGTGCTCTGAATATTGTAAAGGCTGAAAGGCATACATGACTATTAATTATTAATTAATATTAATTATATGTGCACCCCTCTCCGAGCGTGCATGAGACATGTACCCAAACCGTCATGATGCACGCAGGCAACTCATTTTCCAAACAGAAAGAAGATGAAAGAAGTGTATGATAGTGTATGTCAAAAGCAAAATCCATATCAAAATCCATATCAAAATTTATATCAACTATCTCATGTTTTCTCCTGCTTTCACTTCTCAAAGCTCCTCAGGCGTGTCGCATCGCAGCTTTGGGCTTGAGGAAATTGCAACTGGGAAATGACAATCCACGGCAATCCTGAAAGACCAAACAAGTCCACACACCTGAAAGAAAGATTCGAACATGCTGAACCGCTGACCTCTTTGAATGGTTTGCACTTGATGGAAACTTGCCCAAGCATCTTGCATTTCACATTGCTCTGACATTGAGAGTACAGAATGATTGGGGTACACAATTAGAGATCGGACAGCGAAAAAGGCAATACTGCATAATACTGCAGAACTGGTGAAGTCAAACCGATGTCTATACAGAGTTTTGCCCCGTCCTGGAAGCACTGCAAGAAAAACGACTGAAGCCGCAGTTCGCAGAATTGTTGCATCCATTGCTCAGATGGCAAAACGGGACCCATTTTGTCGCCCACCGTACTTAGAATGGATCCGTTCTCTGAGGAAAACCCAGGTGTCGCTGTTAGCTGCACATAGTATTTTTGCTGGTCATGTCAACACAGGTCAAAACCCTGGTAAGTTTGATTTCAACGCTGCTGCGCTGGTACCAAGTTGACAAGTGGAGAAAGTCTAATGAACTGCACTTGATTCTATTCTCTGGAACATATAGTCCAATTATGATTAATTCAATTATGAAAGGTATGTATGTCTATTCACATATCGTCACATTGCCCTGCTATCATCCATCATCATCGATAAATCATCGACAAATCGACACGCGCAAGTGACCTCGTCGCTCTGCCAGCATGCGTCCGGCCAGGGTATCCAGGTCGGGAGCTTTGCTGCCAGGCCCTGAAATTGAGAACGCCGTGCCGCAAGAATTTGATCACTGCGAAAGTGCGCAAAATTATGTGATCAGGACATGTAACAAAGGCACAAGGAACACTGAGGAGACACATGAAACATATTGAAACGATACCATTATTCACCACCGTCAGCCGTATTTTTTGTTTAATGGCAGAATCTGCAGCTCCTTAGGGAAGCCAAAACAAAAAAATATTCAAAGCATTCACACCTGTTGCGTATACCCAGGATGGCCGACAATTTGCTGCCTTCTGCATCTTGCCACAGAAGCCTGTCTCTCGCAATCCTGCAAAGGAAAACAGGTCTCACCAGTCTCACCAAGCAGCTTCACTTGCCTTTGTCCTGAATTGTGCATCTATACCGGGTCAAATCAAGATTTCTGTCCTTGTCTCCACAGGTGATCCTGACCAAATAGCAAGTGTGCGAATTTTAGCAACTTTCTACTAGTGGTTACAGTTTCAAATATGTGATGTGAGAAATTTCATCACCCACCAACCCAAGATAGTCATAGAACTTAAAAAAATATTTTGGTAATACTAGTACGTGCAATATCTTTTGGTAATTGTTGGTAATTATACGCTTACAAAATCATACAGAATCCGAACAACGAAGGCTTAGCTCCGGAATCCGACAGGCACGAGCCCGGCACGAGCATCAATTCTGCAGCATCTCAGCACGCCTGCAGAGTCCGGAGGCAGTGCTCGCCCAAGCCTTGACTTCAAGGCTCAGCGGCTTAACATGTCTTCACTTGGTTTGTAGAGTACAGCAGGAGTGAAACAAATCACTCCTCTTGAAATCCGTTCTGACATCTTCGCCGCCCCCAAGCAGGCCAAAAGTCATTCCGTCTCTCCATACAATAGTCCACTATGGCCTCTCTCGTCATACATCCAACAGCCCTTGGACTGTGGCTGCTTGTACCAGCGCTTGAGATGTTTGTCTCGCTGTCCTTGCTCAATCCGCAATCTATCCTGCATAGAAACGGGCCATGGCATCCGTGCTGGATGAATTACATTTGAGAAAGGACATTGAAGAGGCGGTTAGGCCGAGTTAGGCCGTCGTGATGTTTGCCTTCTTGTTATGTCAGACCTGTCTGATCACCCTTCTCCAACATTCTCCAACCAAGGCCACAAGAGTATCGTGTCATATCGTGTCCATATGCCAAGTTGAAGTTTGCACCCCACACTCCCAGCCATGCCTGGCCTGCCAAAGTAGGTGTCCTGTCATGAAACTTGTGCGGTGGCTTTGTTCTTTGCCTTGGTGATTTCATGTTCGGCAAACCTTTTCAGGGATCGGCTTGGGACATTTTGGGACAGCTTTGGCGTCTTTTTGGCCCTCTTTCATTCTTGATCGCTCTTGCATGTGTGACTTGCACATCAAGAAATGCTCAGCACGACGCACCCTCAAACAGTCTGAGAGTTGTACCAATCACCACCTTCCGATATAAACCGCCGATGGGTTCAGACGGCATGGCCAAATGTAAAGCAGATCCTAAAGGATGCTCACATACGATCGAGCTATCATGACGTATGACATATCCAAGAATGCTCATGTTTGTCCCAGTTAGCTTTACTTTCTCTTCAGGATTGACTTTGGGTGACTTCAATTTCAGCGGTGGGCTTGGGAGTTTTGGATGTTTGACGTATCCATGAAGCTGCTTTAAGCTGCTGTCTTGAGGGCAGGACTGCAGGACCATGTGAAAACTAAACCTTCCTCATTGCTTCAGCGAAATCGCATCCACTTGGTAGACGATATTGCTACTAAGTCATACTAAGTCACTGTGCATCACAAAACGTTTGCTTTTCTCCGGGAGCAAATCTCAGGCTAAAGCTTTGCCAAACCGGATTCAAGATAAAGTACATCTTCAGCGGCCAACTGCCGCATCTGACAGACTGTCACTGGGAAGTTTGTAGAGTCATTACGCGAGAAGGCTATTCCCAGAGATGCAGACCTCAAGCGATCTGAAGATCTGGAGTTCAAAGCACAAGACAAGGACTGCAAAATACTGGCTGAGGCTATGCACAGTCCAGACAAGATGGATGAATGATGATGAATGTATACAAGAAACCCATGAAACAATATGTTTCACAAAGGTAATTATACATTCATACACATAATCACATTATATTATAATATTAACAATAGTAGTAATAATAATAATCATCATCATCATCATCGTCAAAATTATATGCAATGTCATCCCCGGATTGCTATTGCTAACCCCTAGGCTGTTTATTGGGGGTATCATATAATTATCAGATTATCACTATTTGGGGAATACCCTCCTCATTAATAAACCATGGTTTCTTAATCTGGGGTTGACATTCCACATAACTACTCATAATCATATGTACGCTACACATAATCAATCGAACCATACCCATACCTATACTATACATATATATATATATATATGTATATATATATATATGCATGGTAATCGGAGGAAGTTTAGAAGTGAAACTTCCGACAATATGGACAGTTGAAAAGCAGAGGTGAGAAGAGTCAGAAGAGAAAGAGTAAGAAGACAGAAGATACAGATGCGCGAAAAGGTAGGAAAGTCGCGAAACACTGTGTTTTTTCCAATGATTTGTGGCTCCGGAGGGTCGAAAAGTAGGCTCGCTAAAGCGGCGGGTGCGGAGCCAGCTGGCCAGATGAGACATGAAAAGGTGCACGCCGTTGTGGCGCGAAGCACATTTCCAAGTCAAAATGGACAAAACACTAGAGGAGCGGACCACTTTTGGAAGTTGAGATGTCGAAAAAGTGCACACCGTTGTGGCGCGAAGCACATTTTGAAGTCAAAATGTACAAAACACACCATTCTCGGACCACTTTTGGAAGTTGCGATGTCGAAAAAGTGCACGCCGTTGTGGCGCGAAGCACATTTGGAAGTCAAAATGTACAAAGCACACCATGGTCGGACCACTTTTGGAAGTTCCGATGTCGAAAAAGTGCACGCCGTTGTGGCGCGAAGCACATTTCGAAATCAAAATGTACAAAACACCACATGTTCGCGCCACTTTTGGAGGTTCGGATGTTGAAAAAGTGCACGTTGTTGTGGCGCGAAGCACATTTCGAAGTCGAAAGTGTAAAAAACTGAGGGTTTTGAGCCTTTTTTGACATTAAGATGTCGAAAAAGTAGATAGTGATTAACTTAACTAACTTGACTAACTTAACTAACTTCACTAACTTAACTACCCTAACTTCGACGACAACAGCACAACTACAACTACAATCTACAATCTACAATCTACAACTACACAACAACTACAACTACAACTAGAACTACAACAACTACAGCTACAACAACAACAACAACAACAACAACAACAACAGCAACAACAACAACAACAGCAGCAACAACAACAACAACTACTACTACAACTACAACTACAACTACAACTACAACTACAACAACAGCAACAACAACAACTACAACAACAACTACAACTACAACTACAGTACACAACAACTACAACTACACTACACAACAACTACAACTACACAACAACTACAGCTACAACTACAACAACTACAACTACAACTACAACAACTACAACTACAACTACACAACAACTACAACTACAAAACAACTACAGCTACAACTATATGACTGCAACTACACTACACTAATTACATTACACCACAACTACAACTCCACTACGCTACAACTACAACTACAGTTGCAGTACGTCACACTACATCCAGCAGTTGTGGGTGAGGTGACCACTGCAACCTTTGCAACCACTCCAGCAAACACAACTCCAACCACCTTTCGGTCAATCAGTGGATTCGCTCTGCCATCCGTGATTCACAACAACCAATGTCTCCTATAGGTTTCCTATTCTGAAACTTCCGCCACCGCCTTGTGCGGTACTACTGGTATCTGCAATATGTATGGATCTGTATATATCTGTATATGTATCTAGAATCCGTTAGAATCCTATAAAGCCATGCTAGGTCTAGGTCTAGGTCAAAAGAGAAGCTGCATGAAAATGCCTCCCCAAGGGTCAAACCGTGGCTGAGTCTCCGGCTGGTCCCTTGCCCATGTTCACACACTGCATTGGAGTGCCTGTCTGATCCTGACCAAATGAGGATATCTGTGGACTGCGCAATTTGAAGCAAATCTGCAGGACATGATATATTGCACACATCCGCTAATTCTTTTCTCACCCTCAACATTCTTTTTGTGTAACTTTGCCAATCCAACTTGCCTGGCAGCAATCGTTGTGGCTCATGTTGCAAGGTTCTCCAACTGGACATGTAAGGGCTTGAACAGGTTCACGCCAAAAACATATGCAGTGGAAACGCACACTCATCTCACTTCCAAACAACTCCAAACATAACAACCCGTTTCGAGGAGGAATCGTAATGATGGATTGCTAGGTATCGATGGGTTGCTAGAAATTTGTGGGCATACAAGCGCAATCAATTATATACTGGTGTATAAAAACAATATTATATGATATTATAATGTATTATATATAATGTATTCATAATATATTCAGAAATATTGTGCACAGTCTGAAGTTCGATTTGCATCGTGCAGCTCCGTTGCACCTCCAAGGCAACCCTTGCACAGGACGTGGCACTGCA